TATGTGCGATGGGGAGAGAGAGAGAGAGAGAGAGAGAGAGAGAGAGAGAGTGTGTGTGTGTGTGTGAAAAACACACTGAAAAGCAACACTGAGATGAGAATGTTCATGATCTCAGTGCCATCTGCAGTATTGACAGCTGTTGCTGCTGACCAGGGCCGGCTCCAGGCACCAGTTTACCAAGCAGGTGCTTGGGGCGGCCACTTCAGAGAGGGGCAGCACGTCCAGCTGTTCGGCAGCAATTCGGCGGACGGTCCCTCACTCCTGCTCGGAGCAAAGAACCTTCCGCCGAATTGCTGCTGCAGATCGCAATCGCAATCGCGGGGGGTTTTTTTGTTTTGTTTTGTTTTGTTTGGCTGCTTGGGGCGGCCAAAACCCTGGAGCCGGCCCTGCTGCTGACCCAAAATCAAACTGCTGCTGACCCAAAATCAAACTGCTGGCAGACATGGCAGCAAAATCCCAAGCAAACTTACTTCATTTTCCTGCTAAAATAGTAAGAGAAATCACTAAGATTTGAATGGCAGTTGTTCTCTATGGCATGCAAATGTGTCTGACTATAGATAAATGTACACATGGGTGGGATTTGTGTAGTGAGCTTAGAGGTCGTAGGACCCACTGAAGTGTGCCATGCCACTATGATTGAACCAGAGCTGATCATGGCTGTGAAGACTAGACTGAATTCTAGTCTGGTTTCTATTTGTCATATCCTAGTGTCCTCGGTCAGAAGAAGGGGTCGACTACACATCCCTGGTCTTCCAAACTACCGGTCGCAGTGCAAGCACTGCAGGGGACTACGAGAACATGAAGATGGGAGCAGACTATGTCAACGTGGATCCCCAAAAAAGGAAGGTGGATTTCTGGACCTGCTCGAGCCCTGTATCTTCCAACCCCGTAGAATATACTGAAGTGAAATTGTGATTATTGAGATGCTATTAACTAAGTTTTCCTTAGGAACGTCAGAATTGCCACAGCAGGTCAAATCAGTGATCCGTCCTTAATCAGTATCCTGTATCCTGTCTCTGCACATTTCACATGGGTCACTGTCAACCTGTTCATATAGGTATGTTCCTCCTAATCCTCGTCAATTAGTGGCTGTCATGTCCTGAAGCTTGAAGCTTTATATTCCTTATAACATTTTATTCTGCCTAATGTAACTGTGCATGTTCTTGTTATCCATACAAAGGTCTCTTCCTTTCTGAATCCTACAAAGCTCTTGGCTGTGTTGATACAATGCAGCAGTGGGTTCCACTTGTTATTCACAGCTTGTGTAAAAACAGCATTTCCGTTTCTCAGAGACAAACGTGCCCTTCCATTTCATTGGCTTCCCCTTGTTCTCACGTTAGAGGAGAGCGTAATTAAGAAAATATAATAGGGGGTCAAATCCTCAGCTAGTATAAAACCTAATTCAACTTCACTGGAGCTACACCAATTGAACTGGCCCTTTGATTGGGCTTGTGTTTTATTTGCTTGATGTCAATTAATTAAAAAAACCAACTTTTTAAATGTTTAAATATATTTCCTGGATCGCCTTTGTCTTTTCCCTTGACCAACACTGACTTTTTTTTTCTCCCTTCCTCTTTTTAAATTTTTTTAAAAGCTCTTCATAGTGTTTGAGTGACAGTTCCCTGGGCACTTCTGCAGGCAATCAGACCCAGCCACAAGGCAGGGGCTCGCTTTTCTGAAGATGATTTGCCTGCACCGTTCTTTAGCTGAGGACAGTCATGTTCGTCAGGGGTACCCGGGGTTGTGAGGCACCTCTCCACCACTTGTCGGGTGTGTAAGGGAGTCTTTTCTGTGTCTGCTGTGGAACAGTTCCCCGCAACCACTAGCTTGCAGCACAAGTGCTACCTTCCAGGCCTCCACAGGCCTCGCAGTCTCTGTACAGGTAGTGATAGGCACACACCAGCCCCTGCGTCCTCGGCGTATCCCTGCAGAGTCCAGCCCCTTACCACTGAAGGAGAAGGCCCTCCCACAGGGAGAAGGCTGCTGTTCCTTTTGGAACAGCACACACCAGCTTGTAAGCCTTAAGCAAAATGGTGACCCTCAGTTAACACCAGAGCACGAAGGTATTGTGGTGGTGAAAACAAGAATAAGTTGATGATCAAAGAGCAGACATTCAAATGACCATGCGTCAGACTGTTGGAAATAAATGGTTATGTATAAAACAAAATCATAACGCACTTCCTGTACGCTGAACTTAACTAAGACTATCCTCTTGGTAATATATCTCTTATTTCCTCCCCCACCTTGTCTCTAATATCCTGGGGCCGACATGGCTACAATAACACTGCATGCAAATTATTCTCCTGTCCAAAGAAGGTTATCTAACCTAACATTCTCTGCCAAACCTGGGCAACCCCTCTTTCATGAAGCAAATTTGCTGTCCAATTACTTCTTTGGCTCCCCCTGCCCCGCTGTAGTACAGCAAACCTTAGATATGCATCTTGAGAGGGTTCTCCCCCCACACCCTTATTTGCTTCCTCCTGTTATTTTTCTCCCTTTGAAGTTTTTCCAATCCTTCATTAACAGTCAGTTCAGACTGGTGAGAAGAGATCCCTTGTGAACTATACAATACTTAATTTGCATGTAACAACCAGCTAGATCAGGGGTGGGGAACCTACAGCCCGCAGGCCGCTGCTTCATTTCATCCAGGCCATGGCAAGTCTCTGCACTATGGGCCGGAAACCCCGGGCCTCGCCTCTCTGCCCCCGTGGGGCTAGAGCCGCGAGCACCGGCTTGCCCCGCTGCGGGGGGGAAGCTGGGGTTCACAGGCTGTTAAAAATCTGGTCGGCTCCGCACAGCTCCTGGAAGAGACCGGCATACCCCTGCAGCCCCTAGGATCAGAGATGATCAGGGAAGCTCCATGCACTGCCCCCAGTTTAAATTTCAAGATGCAGTATGAGAATGGAAGGGTTTAAGGTTCAGTCCTGCGCTATTTGTCTTGCAATAATGTTCTGGCCTTCTCACTCCATGAAAATGAAATTCCACCTACATTTTCTGTGAGCCTTTCCTAATCCTGTCCCAAAACACCACCTCAGCCTTTACAGCAATTTCCAGCCTGCAGCTTTGATCCCAGACTGTCTCGCAATTACCTTTCTGAGCAGAGGGGCCCTGATTCTGAAATGTCAGGAGTAATGTCAGAGCCAGGATTTAATAACACGCTTGACAGTCCATGGGCACAAAATGCACTTGAACACACAGAATCCTATCACTCGGCTTCCCTGCAGGCACCTGGCTTTGGTGTGCTGTTTTGTAGGGCGCTGGCCCCTGCCAGATGCAGGGTGAGGGATTTGCTGGACCTATGCTTTGATCTGGTATGGCAAACGCTTGGGGCCTGAATGACCGTTCCCCTATAGTTTGTGTAGTCACTTATACCAGTGCAAAGCATACGTGACAACAGCAGGTGCAAGGCAGTGGAGAATCAGGCTGTTGGTTTCTGTGTGTAATAGATTTCCCTATGCATTACAGTCAATTTCAATGTCAATATATGAACTTCAAGAGGCAAGGTCTATGCGTGATTTAAGTGCCGCTTAAGTTTAAAGTAGTGCAGAGGCTTTGTGCTGCACTGGGATGATGCCGAGTAATGAAAGCAGTTCCAGGCTGGTAACATCGGTCCTGCTCCTGTGGGGCTACACCTCCCCTACAAAGTGCCAAACACCCGCAACTCCTGTTAACTTGAATAGGAGTCCAGGGTACTTAGCACCTCACAGGATCAGGCCTATTGCATATGGGCCTAAGCCAGAACACTGGCATGTTAGGTGGGGCTGGAACTGAGCCTCCCAGGTTAAACCTCTCTCTAACTTCCTGCCCATAGTGGTTGTTCGGCCAATTGATTTTGCAGAAGTACATTAATAATCAAGACACGCTTCATCAAAGGGAACTTGTATCTGCAGCAGCGTCTCTGAACTCTCCAGGGACTGAGCAAGGCTGCCAGCGAGTGGCTTATATTCATTTGCCTGCTGCACAAACCAATGAGCTGATTTTGTAGTGATTTCCCAAGTCCTCCTCCTGTTCCCGGTCAAGTCCATGGGAGCTGTGCCATTCGCTTGGAATGCAATGAGAACTGGCCATGATGGCGTCTACAGCTGCAATGTGAAATGTATTTTGATTCAAAGCCGCCCAGGGCTTTTTTCTGTCAAGTCAAATTAGAAACAGATAAAGCACATGAGAGACTTCTGAAATCAGTGGCTTTTAGAAGCATCTGCATCGCTACGTCCAAGTAGGAGCTCTGCTCCCTCATCCTATTGCTTTATATGAAAGCAGAAGTTTTGTTCAAGATGCATCTGCACCTGCCATTTATTCCCCGCTCAAAGCATATCACCCTCCTATCTGAGCTACTGACTGCAAAGGAGCCGTGGCTGTGTACTCACTAGATCGATCCTCTATTGCTTTAGCATCCAAAAGGCTTGGTCTTCAGTTACACGGTGTTGCCAGCTCTTGTGATTTTTATCACAAATCTCACAATTTTTAGTGATTTTTCTTAAAGCCCCAGCTGCTGGAACCATGGTGTTTTCTGAGACTAGTATTAATACCTAGCGCTTTTCATCAGGAGATCTCAAAGCGCTTTATAAAGAACATTAGTATCCTTCATCGTCCTCATTTTACAGATGGGGAAGCTGGGGCACAGGGATAGGGTGTGACTTGCCCATGGTCACCCAGCCAAACGGGTCTAATATCCAAGCTTAGAACCCCAGTCTCTTGAATTCCTGACCAGCGCTCTAGTCGCTAGGCCACCCTTTCATTTTAAAAAGTAAATTTCTAGCCCTCGTGGTTGCGGAGGGACGCTTGAAAATGGGAACCAAGTGCGACCTAAAGGTGCAGAAACCAGCAAAGAAAAAGGTCCCATCCTTTATTTTTTTTCAAAGTCTCATGATTTGGGGGAGCGGACTCGTGCTCTTGGAACATTTGGGGATGGCAGCACTGCTTGTTCAGGCAGAGGAAAGGGGTCTTGCAGGGTGAGTAAATTCACGCTCATTTTAAAGCCTCTTTACGCTGACAGAGTGATGCAAAGCGGCCTTTGTGTCAAGGAGAATCAGACCCCTTGTGTTTTTCTAGACTCCAAGAACAGCCATAGGCTTCTGGGACCAGATCCTCTGTTGGTGAAAATTTGGGATAATTCCATTAACTTCAATGGAACTATGCTGATTTATACCAGCAGAGGACCTGGCTCTCAGCTGAAAATGGCTTTTGTTTTAGAGGAAGGAAAAAAAGCAACAAGAAAGAAAACCAAGAAAAGGCCCCAGCAGAGAGCGCAGCATGTAGGTCTCTTGGCTGAAACAGGCTGCAGCAGCTCTGAGAAGAAAACAGCTGGGTTCCTGCAGACAAGCAGCATGCTTAGAAATGTAAAGGTGCAGTGCCCAGGAAACTAAGGGATCGGTTTTGTAAGGATATGCACCAGAGAAGCTCATGGGAATGTTGAGTGCACACGGAATGCCGGGAGTAAGTAGGAAATCAATAAGAAGGATAATCTAAAGTCTATGTAAACCCGGTGGCCTGAAGCTGGCGAGGGTAAGGAGCATTCTACTCCCACCTGTTGGCAAACAGCAAGCAGAACAGCCAGCGAGCTGCTGTATTTGTATAAGCGATTTATCCAGAACTCCAGCTGGAGAGAAGCTCCAGAGGGGGAGGAAATCTCTGACTCATTTGTTTGTGAACAGGGGGAAATGGAACTACAGACATCTTCTTTTGCATAAGCTTTCTAGCCAGAATTCCTCCAGTGACACTTTGGGAGCAGCAAGCTCAGAACTGGTTAGGTAATGGAACTGGCTTATAAGAAGATCCAGGTGAAAACGGTTCTTAATTTGATTCAAGGACTTTGTTTGAGGATTCCGTGTCCTCTTGATTTTCCTTTCCTGGGGATCATGTGTTGTTGAGAGGACTTTATGGTAAGACAAGAGCCATGGCTCGCTTTTCTGCGGGGTGCAATGCAGCGAGGGCTCTTTTCTGAAGCTGCAGAGGACCTCAGCACAGCTAAATAAAGCTGAAGTCATTACATCTTAGGTAATGGAGCCTTAGGACAGAACCAAGCAACATTTTCCAGGGGGCTGGAAACAATTCTGCTCAAGTGTCCCCTTGAGACTCTGAAACTGTGACCCACCTCACTGACTCCAAGCTGTGTTTAACAGATGGGGAAGGGATATAGCAGGGGTTCTCAAACTGCGGGGTCGGGACCCCTCAGAGGGTCACAAGGTTATTTCATGGGGGGGGGTCACGAGCTGTCAACCTTCACCCCAAACCCCGCTTTGCCTCCAGCATTTATAATGGTGTTAGATATATAAAAAAGTGTTTTTAATTTATAAGGGGGGGTCTCACTCAGAGACTTGCTATGTGAAAGGGGTCACCAGTACAAAAGTTTGAGAGCTGCTGGGATGTAGCAAAGGCTATTGGCCCGTAGGCAGGAGCGGTGCCAGGGGTTTTGCCGCCCTAGGCAGCAGCGCTCCTCCACTGAGCATTCGGCGGCGGGGGTCCTTCCGCTCCGCGTCTTCGGGGCACTTCAGCGGGGGTCCCGGAGCGAGTGAAGGACCCGCCGCCGAATTTCCGCCGAAGACCTGGAGCGGAAGGAACCCCCGCTGCCGAATTTCCGCCAAGGGTGGTAAAATGCCACCCCCCAAATCCTGCCGCCCTAGGCGACCGTCTAGGGTCAGCTAGTGGAAACGCCGGCCCTGCCTGTAGGGCATTTACACCAGCAGGTAGGGTTAGTAGACTACTGCCCAGGGCACTGTGGGAGAGTGTTTGACTTTGCATATATATTATTGAACTATATTGCTTCCTGGGTTGATGCTGTGTTCTCTTTCCCCCAGTGAAGTTTTCCTTGTTTCATTCCCAGACTCAGTGCTTTCGAGTGGGGAAGTATTGCCTGTCAAAGGCTTCCAGGGGAGGTATTTCGTGATCTCTGAAATTCTGAGCGAGGGCTTAAGCTGATGGTGGTTGATAGTTTGAAGAGGGGCCTTGTATTCATTTAGAAAGGCCAGCGGTATTGATACAACCCAGTCACTGCCCTGCATTAAACAGTTTCAAACAAGATTTGGGGTCTGATATGCTCAGTCTGCTTAGTATCATGGCAAACACACCATTACAAGTCCTTTTACGCGTTTATTAAAGATACAGACAAACCCGAGCCGCACCTTTAAAGCTCTATCTATTCCGCTTTACATTGAGAACTAGTGTGCACCCCACTAGCCTGATTCTCTCCACCAGGGCTGGGAGATGTACCCGGAAGGGGCAGGACGTGCTTTTCCCCAGGTGATGCTCTGCAGGAAGGCCCTGATTCAGCCCAGCAGTTAAGCAGAGCCTTAACTTTAAGAAGGTGCTAGCATCCTAGTAGCAAAGCCCCTAAGCACATGCTTAGCTTCAGAAGATAAACGTGTTCTATGGTGAATGTGTGAATGGAGTTAAATGCTCTGCTGAATGGAGGCCTAAATAACGCCACACTAGGGCTCTGTCTGCCACGTAACACAGTTGCCTTGAGTAACACGTAAGGAATAAATACCAAATGCTCAAGGAAAACCTATTGGTTAGCAAGTGACTGCTGAAAATGCGGCATGTTGCCATCTCTTCTATTCTGGGCCACTTAGAATTTGGCAAGAAATAAAGCAAAACAATAAAAGCTTTTGAAGACGTGGGTCCCTTTGTGATACAGTAGGGTTCTATTTCCTACAATGATGTGCACTATCTATCCTAGCGGCTGGCAGCAGTTGCAGTCACAGCAAAGGAACTGCCAGCAGCCCCCAATACATTTCAAACAGAGTCAAACTTGGGATTTATTTATTTGTTTAAATGAAAGGTTTTGAGACTTATCGATTTGTGAGTTCAGAGGTGGGTTTTTTTTTTTTTTTTTTGTCTTCATGATCTTGTTGGTCTGAGTTGTCCCCTGTAGGAAAAGACATGACGGATCGGTTTGGAGACTGGGAAATGATGTTAAGGTTAAGGAGAAATGGGGCTGCAGAATTAAAAGGGTAGATGTCAAAAAGAGAGATGGATTTGTTGGTTTTCTTTCTAGAAGAGCTGGCGAAAAGGGAGAGACGTGATTTGAATTCAAGGCAACGCAGGGAGAGGTCACCGCAGAAGCGTAATGTAATCTGGCATTTTCTATATGTAGGCTGGAGTTTTCAACAGAGCCTAAGGGAATGATGTGCCTAACTCAATGGGTGTGGGATACCTATCTAGGGTCTGTATATGGCCCCTAGGACTGTAATATCAGTGCGCTTTCCAATCTTTAATGTATTTAGCCACACAATGCCCCTGTATACTAGACAGTGTTATTGTCCCCTATTTTTTTACAGAGAGGCTAAGGTTCTAACTCTCACTGAAATCAATGGGAGTTGAGTGCCTAGGTACCCTCTGAGGGTCTGATCCTGAATGACTTGCCGAAGCCTGTGGCAGAGACCCCAGGTAGTCCTAGGCTAGCACCCTAACCCCTGAACTGTCCTCCTGTCCTTTTGAAAGTCCCCACCGTAGCACCCCAGAGCACTCTACGAGCTTTGCATGGGCCATTTCAAGCCCTTTGCGAGCTTAACTAACTGATGTACGACCTATGCATAGTACAGTTTCCTCTTCATCAGCCACTGGGATGCAGCCACCTCTGAGATGAAATGCAGCAGCTGTTTAATAGCGCACAGCACCACCGCACAACAGCCGAGGACAAGAAATAAGAACGCTGAATCCAGCTGAAATGGCACAATGCATTTAGGGAGGCCGGATCTGTCTAGATTAGTTGGAATTTAGCCAGGACTCCTCCACCTAGCCCTTTAAGGATCACATGTTGTCCAGAACATGAACAACTACATCTCTTAACAAGACAGCATCCTGTGTGGCAGATGGGCTGGGGCTTGTGCAGACTCAGAGGAAAGAGGTCCCTCTCGGGAACCATGACTGGTGCTTCCTACAGCAGCAAAGTACCTTTGGGAAGTTACACAGCAAAGGCGCAGGATAAGCATGTGAACTATTGAGCTCAGCCAAAGGCAGGTTTACTCTAAGCACTAAGGCAAGCTGCATCTCAAAACAAAACTAACCTTTGCAGGGTGGAAAGAGGGAACCCTTTCTTTCTGCAGGGAGGACCAGTACTTTCCCACCAAGGGATCCCAAAGAAGAGATCTGTGGAGCTCGACAGCTTGTCTCTTTCACCAACAGAAGTTGGTCCAACAGAAGATATTACCCCATCCCCCTTTTCTCATATCCTGGGACCATGGCCACAACAACACTGCAAACCCACTGATGGTAATTTCACAGGCCAGCTGCGGCTATGTAATAACTTGTGGCCACATACAGGCATCACGTGCATCAGGTAACCTTGCGCCTTGTGGCACAGGGAATAGGATGTTGTTTTCATGACCCTGTCATTCTGAGTTGTCCCCTCTTGGAAAAGACATGATGGATTGTTGGTGGTTTGTTTGGTTTGGTTTGGTTGGGTTTTTTGAGAGTCTGAGAAATAGAATAATAGAATCATAGGACTGGAAGGGATTTCGAGAGGTCTTCTAATCCAGTCCCCTGCACTCAAGGCAGGACTAAGTATTATCTACACCATCCCTGAAAGGTGCCTAATGTTGCTAAAAACCAGGAGAAATGGATTTACAGAATTTAAAGGGATAATGAAGATTACCTAAGATCTGGGCATCAGCTACTTGACCACAGCAAAACTGCCATTTGCTTTGAGCTTGTGGAACGGTACAAAAAAAAAAAGCAAGGAGGGCTGTCGATGGGATCTGCCCTAAAACAACCCATCAATAGATGGCACACATACACCCCTGTGCTTTGCAGACCCCTGATACAGACATCCAGGGTTCCAGCCAAATTAGGTGCCAGGCGATAAAACTCTGCAGCCATCAATTACATACAAAGAACAAACTCACCAGAAGAGCGTGCACAGGGAGAGAACTCACCAGGCCTGATTCTCTATTATCCTGCCTCTTGTGCCGTCATTCATACCAGTGCAGTGTCACTGTGAAATGCCACCATTCTGATCTGATGGCATTTTACACACCCTTTACACGGGGGTAAATGGCTGCACAAGGGGCAAAGTAACAGTGAATCAGGCTCCTAAACGCTTCGCTTGACTCCCTGCTCGCTTACAATGTTTTTACAGCAGTAGATAAAGTGCTGTGGGGCAGGGCCTGTCTTCTTGTTCTGTGTTTGTACAGCGCCTAGCACAAAGTGGTCCTGGTCCATGGCTGGGGTTCCTGGGTGCTCCCATAATATAAATAACAATAATTAATAAAACTCCAGTGACCTCAAGGGAGTTAGTCTGCAGAGGGAACTCTTTACACCTGCATTGCAGCAGAGGGCAGCGTCGCACACAGCTATTAACAGAGTGAGCGGCTAACACATTGTAAAAGGTACATTTTGACCTGGGGGAGCTGAATTTTCTTCTCTCTGAGCGAACCATGTCCATAGGCTGTGTAATTATTTTTAATGAACTTTCAGGCAGGCTTAGCTGAGCTGCCTCTTGCTAATAGCGCCGGTCACTTTACAGCAACTTTATTTGACATCTTATTTAAAAGAAACGTGGAACCATCCCATGGACACCCGGCGAGTTACTCTGGATTGACAGTAGTGTAAATGACAGCAGGGCTTGGCCCTGAGAGCCTGCTCCTGCTCCTATTATAGCAAAGGGGCGTCTGGCTGTTGAATTGAATGGCGCAAGAATAGACTTGTTGCCTTGAATTGATCCTGCACTCAGATCTGAGCAGGCATATGGGCCCACCCACGTGGATCTGAACTGTGGCCCCTCCCAGCGTCAGACTGCCATGCCCTCAGGGCAGGGGGCTGGTTTGTAATATGTTCCTGCACTGATCTGCGAATGTACACCTCTGTGTCAGGGACCCTTCAGAGCAGTGCACCAAATGCTGCTTTACTCAGACAAAGCGTCCATGGTAGTCTATAGGCCTAATTCGCCTCTCACTGTCCGCGGGGGGAACCCCATTGACATCAGTGGGCTGACTCCTGCCAGACATCGGTGTCAGTGAGAATCAGGCCCCCAAGACTTCAATGGAAGCTTTGCTTCAGTAAGGCCCTGTAAAAGCTTCAGTGATGCTTGTTGGTATACCCACTTCTAGGGAGAACAGCCGTGAAGGTGGGGAGGGGGAGCCCTGTTATTTCAGAGGCACACTGACCATATCTTTTCACTAGACTGCTTCTCCTGGTGTTTCAAGGGCAGGTGGAAGGGGGACCAGACCTGATTTCCTTTGTGCATGGGAAAGAGAGTGAAAGAGATGCTGCTTCTGCACAGTAGCAAAGCACATAAGGACAAGAGAGACACTGTGGTGCTTGCCGGGTTAAACACACAGGTTCCTGCAGAATAAAATTCTGCCTGATGCACAGAGACTGCCCTTCCCCGGTCCTCCACCCCACCCAGGAGGCATCATGTGTGTCCTCTAGTCCCACGTCCATTCAAAGTTCTGAGTGACAGGCAAGCAGCGCGGATCGCCTGACGGCACAGAGGTGTGCATCCTGCAATGGCGGCTGGCGCGAGCCGCGGTTCTAGAGCACACCTGACTCCGTCACCGTGTCCTCGTAGGACTGGTAGAAATCTTTCAAGTCCCCCTGCTGCAGCTGGATCCCAGGGGTGTCGGTTTGGTGGCTCTGAGTCAGGATGGTGGTTTTCCTGCTGCAGAGGCTCCCGTTGGAGTTTTGCCTCTTGAGGCCAGGCCGGAAGCTCCCGCAGCAGGAGACGTACCACAGGATGTCGTGCAGGAGGTGCCCACTGAAGAACATGTAAATCCAGGGGTTGCAGCAGCTGCTGAGGCTGGCCAGCAGCATGGTGATGGTGAATGCCACGTTGGTGGACTCTGCAAAGAACATGTTAAAAACACCTATTAATTCCCCAGCGGTGTATTGACAGAAGCAGCATGGCCAAGTGGACAAGGCATTGGCCTGCGATGTAGGTTCTATTCCTGCTTCTGACACTGATTTGTTGGGCAAATCACGTCCCTTCCCCTCTTTGTCTTGTTTGCCTCTTTTATTTAAACGATCAGCTCTATGGGGCAGAGACTGTGTGTTTGTGCAGCACCCTGCACAGTGGGGCTCTAAGCTCAGCTGGGCAGGTGTGACTGGCAAACAAATAAGAACATCCATGCACATTACAGGAGAACACTGCCCCCACCAGGACTCTGCGGGGATAGCCTGCACCTGTGCGGGTTGAGGCTGTAAGTCAACCCACATGTGTGGTGTGATCTGGCAGTGTGTGGCGTGTCCATCCTGTTTGGGTGCCTAACTTCCAGACACAAGTGAGTGCAAAGAGCTCCGTTCCATATCAGAAGAGGGAAGAGACGTGCCTGTGGAACCATCAGGAGCCTGTAAATATTGAGACAGGAGCTAGCTGGTGCCTGGCTTTCCATTTACTGGCTGAAACAATTTCCCAAAGCCATTGTGTGTGTGTGTTATGTAACCAGAGAGTGGCTTATGACATCCTACATTTAAACAATTGTCACAGACACCTGCAAACACCCCATCCGTCCCCTCCCAGGAGCCTCCCCGCACACTTTGAGGAGGTGATCTGATCTCAGCAATCAGAAGGCACCTTTTCAAAAGTCTGCCCCTGTGTCGGCAAAAGCCTGAACGCCATGCAACGCTGTATGTTAAAGACCTGCTAGGGCTACACAGCCCCAGCAAATAGATGAGAAGCTTTATCCTGCTGTCCATTATGGAGGTCACTGAAATCACAACAGTGGACACAGTTAAAATCCTCCCCGCTCTCCCACAGCCTTGTAACATGCCAAAACAATGGAGCCGCTCCTGATGTGCATCTTCTCCACTCAGATGGGATTGCACAAGGCACTGCATTTTGAGGAGTCTATGCATGCGGCTGGAGGGGCAGAAGTCCTGGGCTTGGCTGGATTTCTAATAACAGCAGTGAGTTGGCTCTGCAGACTTTTCTCTACAAATACGCCGGGCGAGCAAATGCTTAGCCTTCTCCATTATTTGTTTAACAAGAAAATAACATGCAGGGCCAGATTCCAGCACCCTGACTCATGAAACGTATTCCACTCTTCAGACAATCCCGTTGAAGTCTATGGACCACTCCGTGAGTCAAGTGCCACCCAGCGTGTGTAAGGGTGTCCGGAGCTCAGTGGGAACGGTGTTATTCTGTCCAGACTGATGGTGCAAGCAGCTATTGTCAGGGCCTGGGGAGTGACCATGTTGCTAGGATCAAAGCTTTCCAAGACCCCCGAAGTGAGCAGAAAAGCTCCCACTGACTTCAATGGGCTTTGGCTCAAGCGTATAGAGGGAGCTTGCTCCAGCATACACAGAAAGGCTCTTGCAGCACAGAGGAAAATCTCCTAAGGTGCAACTTACCAGCTGCTGTGACACGGGTATATTTTATCAGCTCAAGGGCCTTGTCAAAGATTTTCCTACGGACTTTGTGAGGAGATAGGAGCTGAACACCAGCAACTTCTTTTCTACCTAGGTTTATCTAAAGTCACCTAGTAGCGGCTTGTCTATATCATTGTACAGTGGCTATTCTAATAAAAAGTTTTAAACCAGCGGCTTGAACTCGAAGGCTCTGACTCTCATTTACATTAAGGTCCCTTTTACACCGCTCTAGCAGTATAAAGGAGCCTTAACGTGGGCATGGATTAGCTTTACCCCCCTGTCAGAGCGGAGTAAAGGGGCCTTCGCGTAAATCCGAATCTGGCCCAGGATGTTTTTATTTCTTGAAGGGAACGTTGTGCAGAAACTGGACCGGATTCTGGTATCACTTACACCAGAATAAATTTGGAGTAATTCCATTAATTTCCAGTGGAGTTATTCTGGATTTGTGACCTTGTAGGAAAGATCAGCATCTGACCCACTGTTTTCTGACCCTGAGTGGCTGTGTAATCCAGCATTGCCGGCTGAGAGTTGATACATTCAATAGGATTTATTTGTCACTACAGGGATCTGATTCAAACGATAGACAGTCTGAGAAAACACAATTTGGGATGAAGAGGGTAGACTAGAAAACAATGTAAATAGTCTCATTTGAACTTTGTCAAAGCTTTCATTTAGAGGCTGAAATCCTAATGACCCTGTGAAAGGCAGTGTTGTTGTTAGGCATGAAGGAAGATTACATTCTCGTCTTCTGCTCCAGGGTCTGAAATTAAAGACTTTAATAAGTTTGACTAGGTGAGAACTGCTTCCAGTGAAGCAGTTGTTAATTCTATTTCTCTGAAAATTAAATAGCTAGAGATGGTGATTGGCGTTTGGACTGACTGCTCAATGGGAACTGAATTTCAAACTCAAGACACTGTGACAGCGGTGGCTCTATGCCTTAAGGGTGAAATTCACCCTTGTGCTGGCTCTCTGCACAGGCTTAGACACTACTTAAGTCCCTCTTCAGCCTTTAGAGTTAGGTTATGGGGTTTTGTGCTGTCCCTTTGCCCGGGGGCTGCATTTCACCCTTACTGAATATCCAGATATAAGGTGTGAGGCTGTAAGGGGGAGATCTGCAAAAGCACCTAGAGGATTTAGGAGCACAAGTCCCATTGGGTTTAATTTAATTGTATTTGTTGTATGATTAATTATGTTAGGGCATCTAGAGCCTTGGATCGGAATCTTTAAGAAATAAATAAAATCTCACACTTGCTTCTAATGATCTCCTCCTAAAAATGCTGCTGCCTTTTGCATCTATATATCTTTGTAAAATGTCACCCTTTGCCATGACTGTGATGAAAGCAACACAGAAAAACTGCTAATGTCTGAAGAACTAGTCGAGACGAAGTGCGGCAAAGCTCTGAAGCAAGAACAGAGAAAGCAAAGTATTGCCAGCCGATTTTGCATCAGGGATAACATGTTAGCACTTTGCACCGGGATTCTGTTAAATGCATTTTGCGGTGTGACATTGGTAACATTTTAACATAAAAAAACAGCATTTTTATTGATTACAAAAAATGGTGGTTTGTTGGAAATGCGTCTCTGATCACTTTGGAAATAATCTGTACCACAAAAAGAAGAACAGGAGTACTGGTGGCACCTTAGAGACTAACAAATTAATAAATTTGTTAGTCTCTAAGGTGCCACCAGTACTCCTGTTC